GGTACATTTGATAGTTAAGGGGGAATGAATAAATAAAGATAATAAAAATTTCTCTGTTTTTCTTTACATACTTTAAAAAGAACCACTCTAGAATAAGGTTTTCAATTATTATTACAGATTGGCATATCAATATTAAATGAAGGCATAAGGAAGTATTCTTTATGGATCATAATAAAATAAGCATCAAATAAGATTATGTTTGGATTATTTAGCTCTATGAGCTATTTCAATATACAGATGTACATGGTCAAAGTGGGGGATATGATAAAACTGATATTTTGGCAAAATGTCCATAAAAATTTACTCAACCACACTGGAATACCCCATACTTTAAAAGGGGTGGTCAAAATATGTGGTAAAATTTTAAAGTAAAAATATTTATAAATATTTTTATTATAAATAAAACATACATAAGTTTATAGTGAAGATGTATCACACCCATTAATTTAAGTGTTTTAATTTAATACAATGTTATATGTCCTGAGATAAGGTGAAAAAAAATACATGCATTACCTGTCTGGACCTCTTCCAAATAAACAAGCTTAATTTAATCACAACAAAACATCCAACAAGCAGGAATTGAAAGGCATTCTAAAAAGTATTTGACCAACAGCCTAAACAGCTATCATAGCTAGGAAAGAAAAGGAAAGACTATTTAAGAGTTAAGGTTGTAGGTGACTAAGGAGACAGGAAATTAATTGCAATGCGGCATGTGAGATTGGATCTTGAAAAGGAATAAACGAACTTTAGTGGAAAAATGGACAAAGTTTGTACTTAATTTAATAATATTATTATATCAATGTAAATTTCTTTATGTTAATAATTCTAGTATGATTATAGTATGATTATCTATGATGTTAGAATTAAAGAAGTTGATTCAAGCAAATCAAGAAGCTGGATAAGGCTAAAAATATATATATTAAAAGTCAAAATATATAAATTAAAAGTGAAAATTTTGATGGAAATTTAATTTTATGTTTGGCAATCTATGCATGCAACTGAGCTAACATTTATATAATGCACATTTAACCTTTGGTGAGGTCAACCAGAGCCTTTTGACAATTAAACATCAGTGTTCACTATACCACAGTTCACCAAACTCAGAGTATTACATAGCTCAGGAAAATTTTCAAGTTTGAACCAGTTTTAGGCAGTTTCACAGTAGAAATTGTCTCATTGCCATCATTGTAGTCTCTTACAAGGCACAGTGTCGCCTTGCAGTGGCTGTTTAATCAATGTGTGTTGAATGTATAAAAAAAGAATGAATGAAAATCTGAGATTTTGAGAATCCAACCCAATCCTTCCCAAGTTTTATTTTGTCAAGATGCATAATACACAAGAAAAAATATAATATACTCTACACTTGTCTTAATAAGTGATATATGACACATCCATAGCATAATTTACTTATTTTTAAAAATTGTCTAACTTAAGTAGAATTAGAGACAATTGTTCTCTGGGAATAAAATACCTGCCTTGTTCCAGTGTTGCAATACTAATTTTTTTAAAAGGAAGACAGCTGCTAGGAAGTAGGGAGACTGATCCTTTGCCAAAGGGAAGGGGACCAAGAGAGGAGGAAATATTTTTCAATTAAGATTCATTTTGGGGCCAGGGATTTAGCTCAGTGGTTCTGCCACCTGCCTCACAAGCACAAGGACCACAGTTTGATCCCTGATACCAAGAAAAAGAAAAAGAAAAACATTCACTTTGTACATGGACCAACTCCCCATGTGGAATACAATTGTCATGTGCTGCAAACATGGACCAAAATTCTAAAAAGAAAAAAGACAAGCACTACAAAGAATGTAAAAACTTGAGGAGAAGAAACAATTAGACACATCTAATGAAATCTTGCAACTTAATTTTGTTGACAGCATGGTCCCTACTCTGGGGAATTTTGAAAATTTCACTCTTATGAGCCAATCTTAAATCCTAACAAACTTAAATCAGCATAGTGGTGTGGCTCAGGGAGCTGTTTTAAAATAAATAAGCCAGCAAATGAAACAGAAAAAGATGAAATGAATTCAATTTGAGGAGTATTGAGTATAGCATGAGCATTATTCCAAGCCCATCGGTTTGATTATTATTTCACATTTTAAGTGCTTTTTACTGAGAACTCATGTTCCCAGTGAACAATTTTGTGTATACACTATTGGGTGCAATCAGAAATTAATACTGCCTAGGGCTGGGGTTTTAGCTCAGTTCTTCTCCCTCCTGCCTCGCAAGCACAAGGACCAGAGTTCGATCCTCGGTACCAAAAAAAAAAAAAGAAGAAGAAATTAATACTGCCTGATTTGTCAGCCTAGGTATGAAGGTAATCTTGAAATATGTTGAGAACCTTAAATCAGTGCATAGAAAGCTCATTTATTTCTGTGAGTGCTCTTGGGAAAACCTGACTGGGGTAGAACCTATCTATAGATGCTATATAACGTTATAGTGTTTTAGGAAACATAATGTGTATATCTACAAATAAACTCAAGACAAACATGTCTTTAAAACTCTATCCATTAAATTTCTTCCATATGTCTGTGACTATGTAGAATGAAATAAACAAAATCAAGGACCACATACCTGAAAGTTTCCTTTGGAAATATTTTGCATGCAATTTACAAATAGACCTTCAGGTGCAATTAAAATATAAACCTCAAGAGATCAAAGATACTAATTGACTACTCTCATTAGGAAGAGAGTAAAAGCACTTGAGGCAGAGATGAGTATAAGAGGTCTGGATAACACACTAGACTGCAGAGAAAATTGTTTATCATGGGGTAGCTTTAGAGATGTATAAAGAACTAAAAGAATCCTGACTATGATGCCAGGTTCCAGCTAATAAAATGATTTTTAAACACTTAGGAGGCATAACAATAATCTGACTTAATTTAGCTCTAATTTCTACCCCATCAAGGAAGATAATTTATACAACACCCACAACTGTTGTCAAAACCAGAAGAAATATTATTAGCATCATAATACAGCTGGGTGTTCATGATAGTAGGAACAGCCCTGCACCAAACAACAGCAGATGCAGCACCAGCAATAACAGATCAGAGATGTTGTATATGAAATTCATGTGATCCAAAATTATAGGTGAGGGAAGAATAGTAGACCACAAATAGATGGAATAGAAGTGCAAGAGAAGTGGATTTGCTTTGAAAATCTGAATCCTGGGTAAACCTAAATTAAGTGTACTTTTATTTTCATAAATGGTGTGTGTGTGTGTGTGTGTGTGTGTGTGTCTGTATGCTCTTCATGTTGATTTTTTTTCCTATTTTACCTGGCTACATCTTTCAGCAGGTCTTAAAAATATAGGGACATGCAAGCAAACGTGCTTACATTGAATAAATCCTCGTTAAATGAATGAATAGGACCACTTGGGAGCATGGGACACTTTAATTAATTGCCATTAATATAACTTAAGTCCCTTTTACTATAATAAGTGGCTAAAATAAATATGATTTAACTACACATACCTCTTTCAGGTTTCTATACTTATCACATATTTTTGCCTCTTCATTTCTTGTATTAATAAATTTTTGCAGTACATGTTTACATTTATTTTGGGAAGTCAATTACAAAAGTATTTCTCTAATATCAATGAAATCCATACAACTTAATTCTGTTTTAATTTTTTACAGAATTTTTAGGAATTATTGACTTGAAAACTACTGTTCCACAATGAAGCAGTTAGCATACGATTCTATATGTGATTTACATTGGAAAATATCAAGTTTCAAAAAAGACTCAGGATTCAGTTTAAAATATGTTATCAGCTAAGGTCTTCAACAGATCACCAACAGAGAGAAGAGAAAGGATAAGTTGTAGGGAACAGGGAAAGGGGATGTTACCAGAACCTCTGCAGTGAGTCCTAGTCTCCTGCGAGCCATGGCAGCCCAAGGTGAATTAACTTATTATACAGGAAAGCTAGAAAAAAATGAGACCTGGAGAAGAAGCTGAGCTTTGGGCCTGATCAGCGCTGCTCGGAGCAGCAAAGACGAAAGCCCTCCAGCTTCCCATACTTTTATTCAGTACATCGGGAGAAAGAAATGTAACAAATGACTCAGGACAGAGAATTCAGTACATTGGACAGAGATCAGTAAATTGGACAGAGTGTTCAGTACATTGGGAGAAACAAATGTAACACATGACTGGAGAGCAGCAGAATTCCTAAATCAGTGAGGAATTATGCAGATGAAGATTTTGTTCCTCCCAGGATGTCTTCAGCTGGTGTAATCTTGTCCTGGAGAATCACAGCATCACCAGATCATTGAGGTCTCAGTTGTTACTGGAGGCCAAAATGGAATGATGTATGGAAGTGTCGTGGCAGGCCTGTAGGCAGGAGGACTAGGCCTAATCAAATGACTATTCCCCCAAATTATGGAGCATTACTCCTGACAGTAAGTGAAGGAAAAAACTTATAAGTTATAAGTATGCTTGCATTAATATGTAATATGAGGTTAACCTTTCTAATTTTCTTATAGAAAATTATTTGAAGTTTTATTGACTGGGCATAAGTTCCTCCTGAGCTGCTAAAATATATCTGTAGAGTATGTTACATATTTAGAAAATAGGCCTGTGAAGCAAAAATATCATTGAATTCACAAATACAAGTTTTTGTTTCTAAACAATCCTTACAATTTTGAAGAATATGATATACCAAATTATACTAAATAATTTACTAATTCTATGACTTGGGGTCCAATGATAGACTAAAATAGCCTGTGATTGTAAATCTCTGTAGGAATCTCTTCATATCCTCCAGACAACAATATTTATAGTGTATCAATGCTATGGAAATGTAGATCTCAATTATTATTAGTGCCTATCAGTTCTGTATAAACTAAAAATAAGTATAAATTCTCAACTAACCTCTTTGCTGCCATCAATTATACTGTTGTCCCAGGAGTCAAAGTCATCTGTGCTAATTCCATCTTGGGACTTGAGTCTTTCTCTACCTTTCTTTGGTTCTTCAGCAGGTTGGCACAAAGCCCAAGTTGTCAGAAATGGCTGGGGACAATTTCACTGAGGTGACCCTCTTCAGCCTCTCTGGATTTGCAAATCACCCTGAACTCCAAGCCTGCCTCTTTCTGGTGTTCCTATTCATTTATCTCTTCACTGTCTTGGGGAACATGGGACTGATCTTGCTAATCAAAACTGACTCTCGGCTTCACACACCTATGTACTTTTTCCTGAGGAACTTAGCATTCATTGACATCTTCTATTCTTCCACTGTAACGCCCAAAGCACTGGTCAGTCTGCAGTCCAAACAGAAATACATCTCTTTCGTGGGCTGCTTTGTTCAGATGTACTTTTTTGTTGGCTTGGCCTGCAGCGAATGTTTTCTTCTGGGCTCCATGGGCTATGATCGTTTTGTAGCAATCTGTAATCCTTTGCTGTATAATGCGGTCATGTCCCAGAGAGTGTGCAACTGGCTGGGAGCGATGCCCTATGCCATAGGGTTCACGAATTCTCTAGTCTCCGTGTGTGTGATTAGCAGTTTGTCCTTTTGCAACTCCACCATCAATCACTTTTTCTGCGACACAACAGCCCTGCTGGCTCTGTCCTGCACAGACGTGTTCAACACGGAACTGGTGATCTTTGTTCTAGCTGGGTTCACGATCCTCAGTTCTCTCCTCATCGTCACAGCCACTTACATTGCCATCCTCTTGGCCATCCTGAGGATCCAGTCTGCAGAGGGCAGGCAGAAAGTCTTCTCCACCTGTGCCTCCCACCTCATGGGTGTGACTGTCTTCTACGGGTGCCTGATTTTCACATATCTGCAGCCTGATAACACATCATCCCTGACCCAAGCACAGGTGGCCTCTGTGTTCTACACCATTGTCGTCCCCATGCTGAATCCTCTCATCTACAGCCTGAGGAACAAAGATGTGAAAGACGCTCTCCTGAGAACCCGGCACAGGAAATGGTTTCTGTGACAGTTTCTGCATGTTGCACTCTAAAGAAACTTGGATGTTTCTGTGCATTTAATTATTCCAACCATCAGGAAAATGGTAGAGTAACTTTAAAGGTGTAACACAAAAACTGATGCCAATTTAGAGCCTTGAGATTTGGGAGGCAGTCATTATTTAATTTGTTTATGTGTTGTGAAATTGTGCATTTTATTATGTAATTTGTTTATCTGTGTCATGGTGTTAGGAGGAGATTTGAGCACATCTGTTCTTCAGACACAGCAGACACGGGGTAGTAAAAGATGCATCTGCACTTCCATGTGTGAGCATGGACATCAGCACATTTAAAAATTGTTAAGCTCCCCTTGATCTGCCCTGACACTGTGTTTTCTCAGCTACAAGAAAATTGAGTAGAGAAATAAGTGACTAAGGAAAAAACACACTTGACTTTTATTAACATCCTCAAATGGTAACTGAGGGTAAAAAGTACTTAACTATAAACATACATGTGATTTCAGTGCAAGCAGAGACAACAGACAAGAGGTTAGACAGGGAAATCTGTATGCTGTGAAGTCATTTGGTCAGAGCTTAATTTTTTTACCATGTGATTTTTGATAACAGTTTTATACTTGCCATGGTTTGGCACATAGGTTTTTCTTTTACTCTCTCACTGCATAAAAACGACGTACATCAGAGTTTGAATTTTGACCTCTCGCATGCTGGCCATGCAACACTGCAGCTCTTATGTGGGGAGAAGGGAAGTGTGACTTCCAGCCAGCTATGTACAGATCATGAGGGGGAATAAATGGCACACCCAGTGCCCTATGGTGCCCAAACTTTAGGATGTAGATGCTCAGTATAATACAAAATGTGTTTGTGTTAGGTGAATCTTCATGCTCATTTGGGTGTTCTGAACAGCTTTGAGGAAGATAAAACTAAGCAATGATGATTGGTAAGTCCAGGGTATTAAGTAAACTTTCCATTTACAATGTATTCATTTTATACTGAGTTTAGCGGACATAACCAATTATAAATCTAGAAATATACGTACACAGAAATATGACCTACTTATCAAGAAGTCTCTCTACAAAACAGTGGGCCATGATTTACACACGAGCAGAATATGTTTCTCTAAATCCAAAGAATTGACAAAATTTAGGAATATGTGTGAACGTGTGCACCAATGTATTTGTGTGTTTGAAATGTTATAGGTAGAGAAAAGTAATGTGTAAGGAATTTTTTATGTATGTAGCCAATCTATAGAGATTCTCCCATTTTTCAATCAAAAAGTCACTGGTAAATGGTTAATATGAAAGGAAGGAATTCAGTGTGTGTGAAATAATTTCCTGTAAAGAATCTGATACTTAATAAAATTTCCTGAGTATTTTTGAAAAATGACCATTGGAAAAAATATATCACTGAATACTGCATTAACTGTTTATAAATCATTGAATAGTAACTAGAGTCGGGTTATGATATGTAGAATATATATTGAAAGAAACCACAAAGATTATGTTGATGCGACATAATCTTCTACAAAGAAAACTTAACTCTTTTACAACAAAAATAACTATTTATAAAATTTCTTTCCAAAAAGATTGCAAGTTCTTTTGCTTTTTAATATTTGTATTCTTAAAAATATCTACAAATATGTCAATATGATTTGTAACTAAGTCCTTTCTCTGTTATCATTGGCTTTTCAAAGTGCAATGATGTATTCTTAAGGGTTATGGATTCTGTCTTTTCTTTGTATATTTCTTTAATGTTCACACATTTGTGCATAGATTCTGTTTTATAAAACCATTTTACTAAAACTTGTGTTTCTAAAATGATTTCTCAAAACACATATATAGTAATATGGCATAGTAATTTACAGAGGCATTCTGTATCAAGTGTTATCTTCTGAATGGTTATAGTATTAAATATATAGAAGTTATATGCTGTATATATGCATATGACTTTAAAGTCTAGAGTCACTGGTTAGGAAATCTCATACCTCCTGTGTCACCATCTTCCTCTCATAAAGAGAATATGTGGATCAAGGTAGCTCATGCTGTTTCACATGGTATTTTTTTACTCTTATTGCATCTTACAGTCTAACATGCTGTAGCAATTATTTTTGGACCTTTTTTCCTATGTGCTCAGCATTTATTATCTGTACATACTATCTAGTTGATTTAAAACTAGACACCCATATCAGCATTGGAATCTTTCTTTGTCAGAATCTTTGAGTTATTTATACTATTTGATCAAATAATTCATAAATTTTCAAAGCTTAACTTGAGTCTGATCAAAATACAGTATAATTTAGGATGATTATTTAAAAATAACAAAATATGCCACCTCCAATTTTTAAAAGTTAAAATGGTAATGTTACATTATTATTAGTGAAATAATTGAATCTCTAACTTCAGGCTATATACACAAGGTAGTAGAATAGGTTAATCAAAAATCAAGACCATCAAAAGCTCTAAACCTGATCCAAATAGGTTTCAGTGTTCAGAATCACTTACACAACAAAATTTTGCTTGTGAGATTTTTAAATAATTTTTGTACTTTATAAAAAAATAGAAAATTACATAACACATATTGTCTATTGACATGGCATTGACATAAAATATCATCTGAGCCTTTTGTTTAGCTCAAACCTCAAGGTTAACCAGTTATCTTTTAGTTTGGTGATGGCTTTCAAACCTCCCCATGAGCCTGCCTCAGTGTAAACTAAAACACTGATGAACAGAAGTGTCCCTCTACAAGTTAATCAAAGAAAATGCTTACAGAAGTAGATTGTCTGCTGCAAGAAATTATCTGCTAAAATTCTTGGGCATGTGCACGTTTTCCTTAAATAGCTACTTTAATATTACATACACATAATATGGGTCATATCATATTATAAAATTTCAGTTCTAAAAAGAAGATACTAATTATATAATTAAAATTTGAAAATATATAATTATATATATAATTATTATGGAATATAAATAAGTGATTAGGAGAAATTATAATTCTGTCAAAAAATTTAAAAGTTTTAAATTGCTTTCAATGATTTCTTTGAATTTTTTTCTGTTTTTTAAATACCCATGTTTTATTTCTATGGTAGAATCATGGTCTTAAATATAAAGTGTTTCATAACAAAAAATTTACCATTCCATTCTTAGTATTGTTGTTGACAAAGTAACTAAGGATTTCTCTGGAAATTTCTGATCTCCCTCCTTGGTCAAAGTTGTCCTGATATGGTGACTCTAAAATGAAAACATTTATAGTTTGCAATTTATTTATTATTCATCAATTCAAAACAATTATTTCTTATTAAAAATTAAAGCATCACAAGGAATACCAAGTAATTATATTCTTCATTGTGGAATCTGTGGGAAGGAATAAACAATCCCTTCATTCATTTACTCCTGAACTTTCAACTTTGGAAGCATGCTAAATAAACTTTCTTAGCAGCTGCTCCCTGAGGATGACCAAAGGTTGCCTTATGCTCGATGCCTATTAGATGAGGCTCCCTGGAATTAGCAGTTGAGAACCAAAGCAAACACCACTCTGTTTATATTCAGTGTTCCTCCCTCAGATTCTTTGGCATTTACCTGGGAAGTTACAAGTGGACCAAGTCTGGCATGGTCTTTCAGGATTAATTTATTTCAGAATAAAATAATGAATGCATAAAATGTAAAGTCAACTATTGTAAGGAAAACAAATATTATATTACAGAAATTTTCAGGTTTTTAGATGCATTGTATATATTATTTCTGAAAATAATTTGAGAGCTGACTAATTTCCAGAAAGATACTACTGGAAGTCATTTTTATCAGCTTTGGGTCACAGTAAGTATTATTCTTAAATGATTTTGGAGCTGATAAACAAAAATCACAGCTTTTGCAAAGGAATATGCATACTCATAGTGTGTGGACCTTATATTTAAAAATGCCAGGATGTGTAGAAACAGAAATGTGGAGTGGATGCCATCAGGATATACAAGTAATGAACATATTTTGAAATTAAAATTTTTGGGAAAATTGATTGAGATGGTCAAGTTAGGAAAATATCACATGTTGTGAAAGTTAATAATTTAATTTGGTCTGTAATACTAATGCTCCTCCTTAACTCTGCAAAAGGAACCTTATCATTTTAATGGATACAAAATGGTATTGGGCTCAAAGGACAGTAGATGATATGTTAAAATTGTTTCCTATCATTTCACACTACATGATATTTCTTAGGTTTGCTGAAAGAGTTATACACAGGGATAGAGTCAGACAGTGTCATATTGTAATTGCTCTGACTTCAGGTTCCCAACAACGGAATGTGGGTAATAGTAGCAATGAATAATACTTACCTGGGGATTAAAAGTGTTAATAAAGGAAAGCCTGAGGAATAGTATCAGGCTCATTCTAATTCTACAGCTTGTTATCTTGCATCATCTGCTTATGTCAGTTAACAAGCATTTCTATATATGGCAAGTGAATGTTTTCACTCCCATTTGGGAAATTGTTAGAAACACTAAGATAATTATAAAAATACTTAGTTATTCATACAATGACTGTGAATTCATTCAGCTAAGTATCACCTTTGATGTCTCACTAGTTTAAAACATTGCACCATGAGAAGATGAAACTTCACCACTGTGCCTGCCTTCATCCTCATGGGGCTGACGGACTCTGCAGAGGCACAGCTGGTCCTCTCTGTGCTCTTTCTCCTGATTTACCTGATCACAGTGCTGAGGAATATGGGAATGATACTGATCATTCATCTGGATCCCCAGCTTCACACCCCCATGTACTATTTTCTCACTCACCTGTTATTTCTCGACCTCAGCTACTCAAGTGTCATCACCCCTAAAGCCTTACAGAGCTTACTGACTTCCACCAAGAGCATCTCCTTCCTGGGCTGCTTCACTCAGGTTTACCTTTTTGTTCTCTTTGCTGCTGCTGGATGTTTCCTTCTCTCCTCCATGGCCTATGATTGCTATGTAGCTATCTGCAGCCCCCTGCACTATCCAGTCATTATGTCCACCGGCTCCTATG